AAAGGAACTGATCAGCAGCCTCGACGTGGCTAGAAATAGTTTTTGTCGGGCTGATGATCTCATTTCCGCGATATGCTGCACTAGGTGGTAGGCTGCCTAAGGGGAACACCCCGCGGCATCCGGCAAGTGAACAACAGGACTCCACAGCTGATCAGCTGTCGATCACCGCAACCACTAAAATTATGCTACATGTTGTTACATACTACATCGACCGCCTGTCTACATTGCGTATGTTTACGCCTACATTTTGTTGAATCTTTGTATTACAGAGCCTTTACTGAAAACTTTGACGCGTAGCACATTTTGTGTGATCCCTCGAAAAATCCGGAGACCTAAGCGCCGACTTAGGCAAAAAGTGCACGAACCCCAATCCCCTCAAATATGCTTGATTGAAGTGAACATAGGTCTTGGAGTCCACATGGACTTTTAATTTTAATTGTCTACTAAAAACTATGATGTTGTTCGCCTGTATTTTTCCCCAAACAACAATGGTCTAAACTACCTACAGCTGGTATAACTTGTGTCGGCCCTTCTATAAAAAACTTCTTTACTTTCCATTCATATTCACATTATTATTCACGATTAAATCAATAACAATAACGTAAGAACCTATTTCCAAAGTTAAGATATAACATTTATTTATTGTTCGCGGAAATAAAGATTACTATTAGACTGCTGCGAAAGTTTACCTGCTATAAATTTATATATATAAATAACAATAATATATAATAAAATAACAAAATAAAATAATTAGCTTTTAAGAAAATAATTTGTATTATATAAATAGAATAACAGCCCACTTGAGGGCTACCCTCCTTGGATCCAATCGAAAATTGCAGCGCTGAAGTCTGTCATTGAAGTCACTGTCATTGACTGCATGAATTCCTCTGCGGCTCTACCACCATCGAAATTTGCTGACACCACGGATAAGGCGAAACGCATTTCGGTCATCCGGCCACTTGTAGCAGGTGTTAGAACTAATGCATTTGGTTTTGCCAACTAGCGGTATAAAGATAAAATACCGATGTAAACCAACCAAAGATGATGAATTCAGTGATCACGTAATTCGTACCTTCACCTTGGCAGTTGAAAAGCTTTATTGCCACCGAATAGTTCAGTTTTCTCTGGCACCCTAAAAAAGAAATTTTAAAATTAAAAGTAAACAAGAGAGAATGCTATAGTCGATTTCCTTGGCTATCAGATACCCCTTACTACGCTAGTGGGAATGCGAACGAGAAAATTCAACAATCTTTTTGGTGTATCGATAGAAATTTGCAAAAAAAAACCAAAAAATTAAAAAAAAAAATTAAAGTGTGGGAGTGGAGTTTGGGTGGCCTATTGCGTTAGAGTTAGAGTGGCCAAAATTTGGGTGTTACACCGCGTTCGGTGAAGCGTATATGTCTCTGAAATCCGCATGCTTACGGGCTTGTCGTACGGACAGACGGAGATAGCGAGATAGACTACTCTATTGATTCAGAATATATGGTCAGAAAGCTTCCTTCTTCCTGTTATACGATTATATTTTTCATCGACTGAAGTACACCCTAACGGGTAAAAAAATGGCACCTAGTATGGTTAACCGCTTAGAATCCTATTCATTTAATGCGCAGGCTACTAGGATGAGCCTTAGCTTTCTGTAATAGTTATCAATTAATATATTAGTTTGGCAAATATCTCCCTTCCGCCTTTTTGTCTTTTGAATTTCGCGGCTATGTACAAAGCGCTACAGAGCTCGTAATACGGGCAATACTATACATAATTTGAAAGGTCTTGACATAACCTACAAAACGACGTTATGCATGATTAGTTTGGATATTGCGTTCAACAGTTATAGACGTGTAAACATGGAGTTCACTAACGCCGAAACTCGTGCTATTTTAAAGTTTTCCTTCGTTAAAGGCAAATCCGCCAGAGAAACGTTCCGTGAGATTAATGGTGTTTTGGGGGATGGTACTCTATCACTTCGAACCGCGGAGGAATGGTTTCGACGATTCAGAGCTGGTGAAAACGACACCATGGATAAGCCAGCCGGCGGAAGACCTGTGACGACAAATACCGATCAAATCATGGAATACATCGAGTTAGACCGGCATGTGGCATCTCGTGACATCGCCCAGGAGATGGGAGTTAGTCACCAAACCATTTTAAACCATCTGCAGAAGGCTGGATACAAAAAAAAGCTTGATGTTTGGACCTTCTGGACCGAATCAACGCCTGCGATATGCTGCTGAAACGGAACGAACTCGACCCATTCTTGAAGCGGATGGTGACTGGCGACGAAAAATGGATCACATACGACAATATCAAGCGAAAACGGTCGTGGTCGAAGGCCGGTGAATCGTCCCAAACAGTGGCCAAGCCGGGATTGACGGCCAGGAAGGTTTTTTGCTATGTGTTTGGTGGGATTGGAAGGGAATCATCCACTATGAGCTGCTCCCATATGGCCAGACGCTTAATTCTACCATCTACTGCGAACAACTGGACCGCTTGAAGCAGGCGATCGACCAGAAGCGTCCAGAATTGGCCAACAGGAAGGGTGTAGTGTTCCACCAGGACAACGCCAGACCACACACTTCGTTGATGACTCGTCAGAAGCTAAGGGAGCTCGGATGGGAGGTTTTATCGCATCCACCATATAGCCCGGACATAGCGCCAAGTGATTACCACCTGTTCCTGTCCATGGCGAATGCCCTTGGTGGTGTAAAGTTGAACTCAAAAGAGGCTTGTGAAAAGTGGCTGTCCGAGTTCTTCGCAAATAAGGAGGGGGGCTTCTACGAGGGAGGTATTATGAAGTTGCCATCTAGATGGAAACAGATTATCGAACAAAACGGCGCATATTTGAACTAAATCCGATCACTGTAACACTTTTTATAAGGCATTGAATAAAGAGCAAAAAAGCGGAAGGGAGATATTTTCCAACCTATTATTTTAATTTATTTTCCAGATACATACACGCTGCATCTTAAACATTGCCTTATTATATCATTCTATAATGGTAAAGGCCGAAAGAATCAATATAGGTTACATTTCTGCGGTTTCGGCGGTGCGAGTTCAATGGACCCACCAAAGACGATGTGATACGTTGCTTTACTACGCAATTTTAATATAAACTCCTATTCAGATTAATTGCGTGACCGGTTTAATGATCGTAATTTAAGGAATCATTTTTTTTTTAGAATTAATGCAAAGGCACGCTACGTAAACAAGTGCCATTAAAATAAAGAATGCTTGGATTCATTTAAAATTAATCATGCGAAAGCATCATTAATTTCTTTCTATTAATTCATCATTTCTTTTACCTCCTCCTTAACTTTTAATAACCTTACTGTATACGAACGGATATGTCTTCGTATGTCAGCCGTGAGGTGTATATTACCCAAAATTAACAGCCTTTCTGCAGGGTTAAACCGTATAACGTCACACGTGGTTTTTGTACGCGTAAAAATCTTACCTAGCTTGGTGCCTTGGCTCGTATGCCTTGTTTTGGCGAAAAATATAGTCGCAGTGGCAAACGTTACATCAATAGGTCCCCTCCTCTTACGATTATCATCAAAATATCGATCTCTGGTCAAATCAGGGGTGTACATGCTTGGAAGATGCGCGAGGCGCGTGTTAGTGAGGTGTCTTAAAAGTGATCCAACATCTCCTCTCACTGATCACTAAGTTTAGTCATACAAGTCTTTAAATAAAAGCTCACATATGTTACGTGATAGTACGAACTGAATTTTCGCTCGGCAGCCGCTTACCGTGTGTAGGCTATCATAACTAAAGGGTAACAAGTATTCGGTAGAAATTGTTTATGATTCTCGGACCACCCTAGTGTTTCGAAGGCGCAGACTCGGTGTTAGTGGGGGCCGAGCCGTGGTGAGTAAAGCGTTTTTACCACGGATAAGCATTTTCCGCGATCTCGTAGTCGGCTTAGCCAACTTGCTAAAAATCCATTATTCGGATAGAATTATTTTTAAGAATTATTTCAATAAGAAGCACTCACTAATAATCTGAACTATGGCATGTTGCCACGCCCATTCTAACGCCCACAATCCGCCCCAAGCTTCCACGACCACACATTTAAAAAATGTTTTGATATTTTTATCAATTGCTATTAGTTTTGTAAAGTTCTATCGATTTGCAAAAAAAGTTTCTGCCTCATGCACAGTAATGCCCTTAAGCCGCCCATAACTGTCACGGCCAGACTATTGAAAAATGTTTTATTATTATTTATTATATTATATGTCTTGTAAATTTCTATCCATTTGCCAAAAAAAAAGTGTTGTCACGTTAACAGGCTTAAACAGGACAAAACCAAAGACACTAGAACTAGAACACTTCTAGTGTCTTTGCCAAAACTGTCACGCCAAAACTTTTGGAAAATTTTAAATTTATTTCTTTCTAATTTCTACAGAATTTCGCATTCTTATTTTTAATTTTATACTTCTATATTTTAAAGCCTTGGGGAATTCAGAGCGGGTCTCAGCTTCTGTACTTTTCAAAAATGTTGCACCTGTTTCTTGAAACCATCCATATAACCGAACACCTATACGAATTTTCTTTTTTTATTTTGGACATGCATTACGGAGTGGTGGAAGAATAAGGTATAAATTGTCCGTTTATTATGTAAGGAATTTTTGAAGAAATGTGGTGGTCTCAGTAAAAATTAAACTGCTAACCTGTAGTGGGAATCATTCCCAATCAATAAGCAGGTTTTTTTTAAGATTTAATAGAATAAGATTTAGTAGAACCACACAATTACCGCTAATACAGCCGAAACCAGCGCGTGCGACCATCCCTGAGTACGTTCCCCATCGCCTCATTCAACGTTTGCACATTGAATGCTGCAATACGTAGCGAAGTACGTGCCATCTTATAATATAAAAAGTATAACATATATAATTTACTTAAAATAAAAGGGTAGCGGCCGAGAAAGGTATTTTTACATATGTATCTACGTTTTTGTAATGTAGTAAAAATATTGCGCATGCGTTTGCGCATGTGAAAGGGCAACATTTTCCACTATACAAATGTATTTTGGTTAGTGTAAGATGTTTGACAACTAAAATCATTAAAAATGAAAGTTTTTTTAACTTTTCGAATATTTCTTTGCATTTGTAAGTATACTGAAATGTGTAAAGAAATATACATATAATAGGTTGCTTAGTAATTTTAAGGGAAACTTGCCCACAAAATTTAAGAGAGAATGTGACTGTGACACCCCTGTATTTAATACGTGATGAAAATATTGTTCAAATGAGAAGGGTTCTGGATAGAGGCCCTTACTTTGATACTTCTGCTACTAAAAACGTGACATCCTTAGTTGGGAAAACAGGACATTTAAATTGTCGCATTAAAAATCTTGGAAATAAAACGGTAAGCTCGTGTATAATTATGTTATTCCAGTGTTCACGCACGCTTATATATTTTAGATTATACTCGTCTAAAGTTATAAACACAAACAGGCGTTTTGTATCCTAGGCGTATTAAAGTAAATTAAAGAGTAAATTTTACATTTATATATTTAAACATTTTTTATGTGTGTTTGGAATTGTCATTAGTTTTTAACGTTTTTAAAGAAACCAATCATTTTCAGCCGTTAGTTTAAGTGTACCTCGGTACGAAAACCACAAGTTGCGAGTTGTAAAGGCGAGATTGCCCTTTAAAACTTTGATTTATAAATATATTTGTTATGGGAATACAATTTGAAGAATTTTGGAAGAACCTTGCCTTAAAGATCTTGTGTCAATCCAGCAGCTGCCTAGTATATTATAATAATATATAAATAGTTCGTTTATTATTAGTTAGTTGTAATTGTTGGTTTTTATTTTGGACGATATATACAAAGTGGCGTTTTCCCTGCAAATGTATAATTGACATTCAATTTGTGAATGCGCCAAGCAAGCAAGAAAGTGAATTTCTGTATTGCTTAAATTGTAAACTATCATGGCACCGTCGTGATAGTTAATAAAGGTCAGTTTAAAGGTTTAGTTTAAAACAACGTTAGCACCTGGTGTTTTAATTTTCGGAAGATTCGAATGGATTTGAATTTCCGAGACCTGATCGACGACTCACTTTCGAAAGATTTCCGGAATTAAGTTTTCGACAGGAAATTTGTATGCCGCAGTAGTGTTATTATTAAAATCAGAATTAATTTATTTAAAGATACATTCCCAGAAGCATACAAATGCTGTTAAGAATGATATTTTACTGACCTTGGTGGGAGGAAATTGAAAATCATTTTTCAATTGTTTGAGTGCGTTACTACAAGTAGTAACGGGCGAGCTAGCTGCGTAGCAGTTAGCATACAAGGAAATTGATATAAATTCACATCAACAAATTATTGCTAGATTTACAAGTCTGTAAACTCAGTGTTTATGGCAGTAGAGAATACATATTTTATTCAAAAATTTACAACGCACTAATAAAGCCATTTGTGATATTCTTTATTAGTAGCATTCGAGTCAAAATAGCCATGTTCGTCTGTCAGTCTATCCACTTGTCTTGCGTCCCCACAAAATATAATCAAATGTAAACACCTCTTAACGGACTTAAAATCCATCATGCAAAATATCTGCTATTACATTTTGTGACACTCCTCCAGACGGCCATTAAAACTTTTCGAATAAGTAAAATTATCCTGACTTCGGAAAGGACTATATGAAACTACGAGTTATATTTTGAGAGTTTAAGAATCTGAAGAGTTGGGAATGCAACACAATTTAGAACTAAATCTGTAAAAAAATCGTTAGAGTGAAAAATCCAAAAATGTTTAATATACAATTATTATACTCGTTACTCGTAGACTAAAAGGGTATTGTCGACAGCATCCAACTTCTTATGATTTCCTAACAGCAAAATCGAATTCCGTAGATACTTAATACTAAACTATGTTATTTCTATGCATATTATAAGTAAGGTCGCAGCTGCAGAATTAACAGCTCTCTCTCGGTTGTTCTATGCAGTGCATATTAGCCGGCAGCGACGATCTTTTTTTTGGCACTCACTATTCGTTTCTTGATCGTTAGGCGAACTTTTTCGCAGCCAAATACCTTTGTTTTTGTCGCCGGTATTCTAAGCGCAAATTCAAAAGAAATAAAATTTATAACGTTTCCCAAATTAAGGCTGAGTTTTAATTGGAAAATTAAGCGCCAAAAAGCTGGCAGGGCAAGCAGGCATATATATAATAATATATATTCACGATCAGTATCAATAGCCGAGTCGAGCTGGTCATGTCCGTCCGTATGAATGTCGGGTATCAAGAACAATAAAATCTAGAAAGTTAAGACTAGGCATGCAGCTTCCAGAGGTATAGATATTTTTAAATTTTTTTATATATCTTGTAAATTTCTATCGATATGCCTAAAAACTATTTGCCACTCTAAAGCCCAAAAACGTCCTAATATTGTCACGTCCACACTTCTTCATAAAATGTAATTTTTTTTTTACTTTGTTATTTCTACCGATATTCTAAGAAATGTTAAAATTTCTCGTTCGCACTTCTACTACTTGAGTTCCGGTTATTTGACAGCTGTGTAACTGGACTATAGCGTCCTCTCATGTTTTTAATTTGTGGTATTAAAATAAAAAACTTTTTAAAAGCAAAGACGGCATATAAAAACGATTTTTTCACTGCATATGTATATCAAAAGTCACCGACTTCAAACAAAACAATACTTATTTACGGATAGACAAAAAAAAACGAGAAAAGTTTAAATTTTGAAAGATTTCCATAGATATTGATCTGGGAATTTTTTTTTGATAGAAGCGTTTTTTCAAATGGGTTGTATATTTTAAAGAAGAAATCAGGATTTGTAAATATTTGTTGTAAGTTGGTGTAAGCCGCATCAGATTAATTTTCTTTATTTCTTACTTTTACCGGTTTTTATTTCGGTATATATTCCATATATACAGTGGTGGAAAAAATAATAGAAACAAGAATCGCTCCTGCATGTAAAACAAAATTACTAATTATGTACGAAGTGTGTGTGGATAAACCGTTAGCACATAAGCCACTCATAACGGTACTTTATTGTGCTCTTCTTTTTGAGTTGATTTCGCTCTTGTTATTTGCGGTACATAGCGATATTTGAAGTGGTCACGTGTTTGAGCTGGAAAAAATAATAGAAGCAAGCTACGTTTCTGCGATTTGTTTGAGTTTTCCATTTGAATTTTGTAAGCAAATCAATATATAAAATACTTTCAGGTATGTTTAGATCATAATAAGTGATTTTGTAAAAAAAAAATGGTTAATTTCGGCTTTTATATTCAGAATGGGGCGCGGAGTGCACTGTTCTGCTGTAGAACGAGATATTATAAAAAAACGAAAAAACTAAGGAAAAACAATAAGGGAAATTGCTGAACTAATGAACTGCTCTGCAAAAAAAGTGTTTTCCGCGATTCATTATAAAGATACGAAGGAAAAACGGAGTAGGAAGCGAGCCACATCCCAAAAGTTCGACGACCTTTTGATTCGAACATCCAAAAAAAATCCTTTTATGTCGTCGACGGACCTGAAAAATACTTTCCAGACATCAGTGTCAAGTCGAACAATAAGAAATAGACTAATTGGTTAGAATTTGAAGGCACACTCGGCTAGGAAAGTTACACTGCTTAGTAAAAAAAAAACTGTCTTTTGCAAAGCGACACCTAGACCGTAAAAACTGGAATAATGTTCTATAGTCTGATGAAACTAAAATTAATTTGTTCGGATCTGATGGCAAAAATTATGTAAGACGTCCAAAAAATACCGCATTTGATCCAAAGTACACAAAAAAAACAGTTAAACATTGTTGAGGTAACATCATGATATGGGGATGCTTTTCCACGTCTGGAGTTGGTCCGATATTCCGGATAATAGATAGGATGTGTGCTCCTGACTACTTTAACATATTGGAGAATGTTATGAAACCATATGCTGAGGAGGAAATGCCCTTAAAATGGGAGTTCATGCAGGATAATGATCCGAAACATTCGTCAACCCTTGCTTAGAAATGGTTTCAGGACCAAAAAATTAATGTTATGGAGTGGCCTGCTCAATCCCCGGACTTAAACCCCATAGAACATTTATGGGGAATATTAAAAAGAGGAATTTGAGGTTTTAAATCAAAAAATAAGGAAGAGCTCTGGAAAAATGTTAAGTCAGAGTGGTATGTCATTAATCCCGAAATTTGCGCCAACTTAGTGAATTCAATGAACCGTCGATGCTCAGCAGTTATAAAAAATAAAGGAAATACCACTAAATATTAATATTACAACTATTTTTATAAGATAATTCATAAAAATGAAGTTAATTATTTTTAGTTAATATAAAGATGAAAAAAATATTTTTGTTCCTTAATGTGAAATATACTTATATATGAATTTAAAAAAGTTAAGATTAAAAAATATTACTTTCGTTCTGAGCACATTTAAAATCAATGATTCAACCAACGTGTTTCTATTATTTTTTCCACCACTGTATATGTTTTTAATTCTTGGTATGCAATTCGATTGGTTTATTACTTAGATTTTTAATTCTTCGTGTATAAGTTAACACGATTACCCAGCAACACAGAAGTTGCAAAACGGCTATATTATATAGCTGTTATAGGAATATCGTAAAGTAAATGTAAAATAAAAGAAACAGGAGAGAATGCTATAGACGGGTTCCCCGACTATCAGATACACGTTACACAGTTATAAAATGAGAAACCAATTAAAAATTTAAAAAAGGCTTCGGCGAGTGGGCGTGGCAAATCTTGCAAATCGATAGAAATTTAGAATAATAATAATAATAATATTAATAATATAATAATAATAATATAATAATATTATAAGTATCAAAACATTTTTCAACTGTGTGGGCGTGACAGTTTTGGGCGTTTTGTTGGCGTAAGAGTGGTCGCGCAAGAGTGGTCTCTGGAAGATGCATGCTTATTCTCAACATACTAGCTTTTGTAGTTCCTGAGATCGAGACGTTCGTTCGTTCGTTGGACAGACGGACATGTCCAGAACGACACGGCTATTGATCCTGATCAAGAATATTGTAACGAATACGACTGTTTATCTACGCCCGAGAGTTTTCTCTGTCTAACTAACTTGCCGACTAGGTTCAGGGCTGGGGTTGGTCGTTTTGACTCTCGAATCGCAGTCGTCACATTACCAATATGTAGAAAGAGGCAATATGAAAAGCAGACGGGAAGTTATAGATGCAGATGGAAAGAAAGGTAGATCAGCTAGCAGTGGAAGATTTAACTGGTGCTTTTTTCCGGTCTATACCCGCAAGGGGGGCGTTCAAATCAGTCATAGTTCCCCTTTGTTGCAAACCGTTCCTCCCCTCAGGCAACCTTCTTAAAAACAAAAATTTTAAATTATTTAAAACAATTTCATTGAAA